AGAGGCGGTGTGTGTGCATGTCCACATATGTGCACGTGAGTGTGTGAGTTTTTATGTGGGCGTGCATGCATGCACGTGTGCATGCGGGGTTGCGCACGTGTGCGACAACAGCAGAACGACGCAGCAGGCGGATCTGGGAGGGCAGCCGATGGTGATGAGGGGAGCTGCCGGGGCAGCGTTGGCCCCTGAGGCGTAAGGTGGTTGGCGTGTTGCGGCGGCGTTGGGTTTGGCGCCGCACCTCGGGGGCCATGAAGCCCGCGGTGCCCACGCGGCTGACGGGGCGCTCCGTCGCGGTGTTGATGGCCAGGCCGAAGTCCCCCAGGGCCACACGGCCGTCTGCATCCAGGAAGACGTTTTCGGGTCTGGGGGGAGGGGAGGGGGGCCGGGGTGGTGGTCCAGGTGAGGGGTTTAGAGGTGTGATTGTTCCAGGTATGGGGTCCGGGAGTAGGTGGGCGGGTGCGATGCGGTGGGTGGGTGGGTACGATGCTCATCTGCGGGGCGTGAGTGGGGCTTGGCTGTGGCAGGCAAAGCTCGTGGGCTGTGACGCGCCTGCTTGGCCCTCTGTGGGGGCCATCTGCCCCGCCCCATACGCACACAAAACCCCCAATCAACGGTAACACACGCACGCACACACACACACACACACACACACACACACACACACACCCATGCATGCGCGCACACATGCGCCGCGCACTTGATGTCGCGGTGAACGATGCCCATGGCGTGCAGGCGGCTCAGCACCAGCAGCAGCGGCAGGACCACCTGCGCGGCGGGCGCGGGGCGTGGCGCGACGACCAGGGGGCGTTGGGGGAGGTGTGTATGTGTGCGAGTGCGTGTGCCCGCGTGTGTTACAGCGTGCGCCCTGGCAGGCCAAGAATGCGCACACGAGGCTCAGAGCGTGCGAGCGTATTCACCCCCATATAACACGAGCCGATCGGCGGACGCACGGGGGTAATGAGTGGCTAAGGGGTAGGGGACGGGGCTCGCACGCAGGCGGGGGGGCTGGGGTGTGTGGCATGGCGCGCTGACCTCGTCGCGCAGGCGCGCCTCGTCCCAGGACTGCGTCCGCAGCGCGTCCAGCAGTGTGCCGCCGGGGCAGGCCGTGAAGCAGAGCAGCACCGAGTCGGGGGACTCGAACACATCCAGGAGCTCAACCACCCCCGGGACGCTTTTTTCAGGGGGACGGGGGGAGGAGGCAAGCGAGGAGGGGGGGCAAGGGAGGGGGTGAGCCGGCGAGAGCGGCGGCGACGAGGGCGGCGGGTGGGGCTGGGGTATATCGGAGGCGAGATCGGGCGGGCGGCCCCCGGGCTGGGCGGACGTGCCGGGGCTGTTGGGTTCTGCATTCGCCGGCGCCCAGAGCAAGGTGCGGCGGCTGTGAAGAGCAGTGTGGTGATGTTTTGATGCGAGGGAAGGGTAGGATGTTGGGGTGCGACGTGATCCACGGCGCCCCGCCCCTCACCCCTGAGCGCGCAGGTCTGATAGGATCTCCATCTCGCGCCGCAGGTTGAGGCGGTGGCGCGGCGTCATGCGGCCCTTGACGTACGCCTTTACACACACGCCCGCGCCGGGGCCGCCGTAGCTGCACAGGCTGACGCTGCAGACGCTGCATGGGGGGACGGCGTGGGGGCAGGGGCAAGGGTGTAAAGGGGGGAAGGGTGTAAAAGGAGGCGGCGGGGGCAGACGACCGAGCGGGTGACAAGGTTGGAGGCCGGCTCTGGGCATGGGCATGGGCCGCTCCCGGTCGACATGCCGGGGCCTTGGCGCTAGGTTGGATAGTGTGCGATTTTTGAAACGAAATGTGTGCGCATCGGCCTCACCCTTGATTGTTGTGGAGAAGCGTGCAATAAGCCATGGTCACAAGCCAAAATGACGGTTGTTTGGCACCCTAGGGAGGTCACGCCGTGTGCGATCGCGTCAAAAGATAGCCCAGTACTATGTGAGCCACAGCAACGCTGCGCTACAGGGCTTGCGCGGGCCACGCATGGTCCTGCATGCCGTGAAGGGATCTCCCGTGGACTCGCACGGGTGATACTGCGCCTGCACACGAGCATAGGTATGAGAAAGTATCTCACCTCCTATGAACACCCCCAGCCGATCGACGTTCCAGTGGCCGGTGCTGGTTGCATCCGATCTGTTGCCAGCTTGGTGTGCCAATCGGTTTAGTCAGCCCCGTCGTGAGGTAACCTGGCAGCTGCGGTCATGAACAATTCGCATCAGATCTAGCTGCCGTGCGCCGTTAAGCACGCCCTGACGCGTCCAGGACAGCGTAACCAGTGTGGGTGCCGTCAAACCTAGGGTGGGTGGCAGCAACAGATTGGTGATCGCGCCGATCGTTCGCAAGATCTGCGGGGCGCGGCCCTCATATGCCTCAGCAATGTGCATGCAACAACATACTGGCGGCGTCATTGCTGCGCCACGCGAGCGTGGGCCGCCATGGGCCTGCGTAAAAGCCCTTGTCACTGGGTGAGGGTAAGCTGACCCTCCCCACAACCCCTGGGGCTAGCTGACACAGCACCCTGTCACCGGCGGGAACGATTGACAACGCCAGCTGCGGGGGAGCATCGCGAGCCTGCCCCGTCGCCTGCCTGCTCAGGGGCGCGCCCAGCCCCTGAAGATGTGGCTGTTGCCCGGAGCTGCGCAACTGCCACGTGAGCTGTTTGCCCTGTCGCCTTTGGCTGGATGCGTCCAGCTGTCGCTGTATGCCATCAGCTGGGAATCGCAGGTGCTCGTGTTACCCACACCGCGCCTGCGAGCCGGCGAACATGCAGCCGTCAACTCGCGCTGCCCGAATGTGTTGAAAACAGACCTGCATTGTATCAGACACCCGTGCGCTCGCGGCCGCACGGGGCAGCCCGCAGGCGTGGGCGGTGGCCTTGCCAACCCCGGGCAAGAGATCCTCGTTTACAGCGGGCCCCGACGCCGCAGCCCGCACTCTCGCGCACGGGTGCGCCCTCGGGGGCGCTGCGCTGTGAGAGGTGCTGACTTGCGACTGCGGCGCTCGGCGATTCAAACAAGAAAACAGCCAGAGTGCTGACAGCCCCGCTCGGCTCACGGGCACAACACCCCAAAACCCAGGAGTTTGCTTTGACCCCTTCAAACTGTGCACAGGAGCCCTCTGGCAGCGACCAACAACGCGTGTGGACAAGCAGTCGCAGCCGTGCAGAGCAGGAGCCCTGCGGGCCTCGACGCGTGCTGTTGCACATTTGGCGCGGCCGGGCGCACCCGCCGGCTTGCCGTTTCCGGATACACAAGCTCCCCCGACCCACATCAAGCCCCACAGCCCCTGCGTGCGCACGCGCACACGCTTGGGGCTGCCGGAGCTGCCCGCCTCGGCAGGCAACGCCGACGTACGATGTGCAAAATCTGCGGCGGCCGCTCTCGCTCCCCCGGGGTCCCCCTCCGCTCACGAGAGCGCGGTGGTCCCGGGATCCAAGCAGTCACAGCAGCCGCCCAACCCCCAGACCACGCAACAACCAACGGCCCGAAGCGCAACAAAGCCTACGAGCCGCCCTCAAAACCGTGTGCACGGGCAGCTCTCACACGAGTGTGAGCCGCGCTCAGCGGGGCGAGCCGCGCCGCGCCGAAAACCACCCTCGGGGGCGGCAGACGGGCGTGGCGCGCCCGCCCCGCACGCGTGCAGCTGGCCAGCGGCGCCCCGGCCGGCCCCGCACGCGGGCGACCCGCGGGGGCCGCGCCCCTCGCGCCCCGCCTCACAGCACCTGCGGGCGCGCCTGCACGACCGCGAAGCGGCCGCCGGCCCAGACGCCCTCCACGTCCTGTGGGGCGCCCCCAAAGGCGCCCTGCACCGCGCCCCCGACCTCCACGAGGCCGTCTATAAGCTTCTGCCTGAATGAAGGGTCCCACAGCAGCGGCTCAGAGGCCGCATCTATGAGCTGCTCGGTCAGGGGGACCGCCGGGATGCTGTAGGAGTGTGTGTGTGTGTTTGAGGTGTGGCGGAGATGCAGACGGTGAGTGTGTTTGTTGCTGTGTGTGTGTGTGTGTGTGTGTGTGTGTGTGAGTGTGTGCGCGCGTGTGCGTGTATGTGTGGGGGGACGGGGGTTGGGGAGGGGAGAAAGAGGAGGCCGCGGCAGTCGACGTGGGGAGGGATGCGGCGCGTCAAAAGCGCGGATTACCGCAGTGCGATATGCCCGTCTCTTCCCCCGCAACCAATGCACTCCTGCAGACCCCGCGCTGCATCATTCCCCGCGGCACCGTACGCCCCTCCACGCAGCCCACACCCTCACCCCCTCAAACAAAAGCATGTACACGCTAACACACATATGCACCGCCACACACTCGCTACACGCGCGCGCGCGCACCTGTCGTACAGGCCCGCCCCAGCGAATGCCTCGAGGTCTTCCCCGTTGGTGTCGCTGCGCGCGATGAGGCTGCCGCCCGCGGGGGCGCGCAGCGCGGCGCGCTTGCTGGGCAGCGACAGCAGGCGGCCCTCGTCCGCCTCCTGGGGGCCGTCCCTGAATGAGAGGGCCCTATTAGGGATGAGAGGGGGGTGGGTGGGGGTCACGATGGGTGTGTGTGGGAGAGGAGGGGTC